CACAAACACGGGGAGAAGCTCTACACAGGCCTAAGAGAGGTCGTCACTGAGCATCTCATCAACAAAGTAAACAAACATATTCTTATCTGATGCAGCTCAGAACACCAAGTAGCAGTTGTTTCACTTGAGAGCAAAGAAAAAATAAGATGGCTATTACAACTGTGTCACTTCTGTTTTATGTTTACAGTAATTGGGCTGCTATCCTGTATGGATTGAAAATGTAAAATTGCCTAATGTAGGTAAACACATAAATGTAACAACTGTTAAAAGCAATGTGGCTGAAAGAATTATCTCTGTCAAACATTAAGTATACAGATGAACTTTGAATAATGAATTTGTCATTTCCTGACATGTAAAAGATCTGATGCAAAGCTGCTGTAAAACTCTGTCCTCATTCCCACATTTATCCTTTGAACCAGAGCTAATCTGTTTCTGTTTTCAGGTACGGGAAGATGTCCTTAACTCTCTAAATAATAACTTTCTGCAAACCCTGAATCAAGCCTGGAATGACCATCAAACTGCCATGGTTATGATCAGAGACATCCTCATGTACATGGTAGGTGGACTAGTGTGTGTCTTTGTGTCTTTTGTGTCCAACCGTGTCCAGCCTTTACCTACATCCTGTTCTGGACTTTGATTGTAAGGTGTTTTTTTGTGGGTCTAACAATGAGCCTCTGTTGCTGTATTTATTTGTTTTGCTAGAAACCTGGCAGGACTAGTTGATTTACTTTAACCCAGGAGCAATTCTGAAGTGTTTGTAGGGTTGGGTGTGAGAAAGTGAGCAGCTGAGATAGGCACAAGTCTAGGCTATACAATGGCACAGCCAGTACAGAGACTGCACATCTCTCCTTTTCTTCCTCCTCCTTTCTTTTGTTCTACACTCTCCTTTTTCCTGTTCCAGCTTTACCCTGGGCAGTTGCCTGTTTTTACTGCAGATTGAGACACCTACGGCTATTTATTGTGACATTCTAATGCCCTTATAACAGCTTTGCAACCTGTCAGTGGAATTGTACAATGAAAAAGCTTTGTTGATGTATCAAGACTATAAAAAAGTACCGTGCATCATATTGAGTCACAGCGAATGTAGTTGTTTGTTTACATTGATCAAAATAAAGACTACTTGAAATACGTACTTTGATACAGTGAGGGTGAAGTCATGGCGGAGAAGATGCAACAGCATGTACATTTTGCAGCATGAGCTGGAGATAAGTTGGAAATAAAGTTTTATTGTTAGCCTTAAACAAGACTGCTGCAAGCTAATGCTACGACTGGTGATGCTTCCCTGTCAGCTAGCTCTCAATGGCTAATGCAGGTTTCTGCTCAACTTTCCATTGCTGTTACTTTCATGTGTGATATTTATGATTTAAAATCAGGGAGACTCTGAGACATTCTGTAGCGTTAAGATTGTGTCTGTAAACTCCTCACACTACAGGATCATTTGGTGGGATCATTTAGTTAGATTTAGGTAATATTAATTCTTTTCATGCATATATTGTGGTTTTCATCTCATTCTCTTATGCTTGAAACCAGGACCGGGTATATGTTCAACAGAACAATGTGGAGAATGTATACAACCTTGGCCTCATCATATTCAGGGACCAGGTGGTGCGTTATGGCTGCATTAAAGATCACCTACGACAGACGTTATTGGACATGATTGCACATGAGAGGAAGGGAGAATTTGTAGACAGGTAGGCCAGTGTGCACATAACTGCTTGATGTAAAGGAAAAAATATATATATATATAGTGTGTGTGTATATATAGAGTTTCCTTCAGGATGCCACAGAATCTGGTTGAATTGGAAAACTGTTTGACATGCAGCAGGTTTGTTAGATATGTGTTGATTCTTTATGTTTCACTTCAGCTACAGGCATGTAACTACTCTTCTACCAATTTTTAATAAATCTAATTATTGTAGTACATTATTTTATGTTAATGAAACATGCCCTTTAAAGGCAATTTAAAAATTGTTAATGTGGAAGCCTTACATTTTTGTAATTATTCATTGCAGGGGGGGCATCAGAAATGCTTGCCAAATGCTAATGATTCTTGGCCTGGACGGCCGGTCTGTATATGAGGAGGACTTTGAGGGCCCTTTTTTAGATATGTCAGCTGAATTTTTCCAGGTGAGGCTATGGGGGATTCTTAGTGTCTGTGTTTTTGAAACCTCTGAATAGGTTAATAATAAAACAACTCACAATATCTGCTGTTTCAGATGGAGAGCCAAAAGTTCCTAGCAGAAAACAGTGCTAGTGTCTATATAAAGAAGGTAGAGGCCAGAATCAATGAAGAAATTGAGCGAGTTGTGCACTGCCTGGACAAAACTACGGAGGAGCCCATTGTTAAGGTGGTAGAAAGGGAGCTCATTTCTAAACACATGAAGACCATTGTAGAAATGGAGAACTCCGGCCTGGTCCATATGCTCAAGAATGGCAAGACAGAAGGTAAAACTATTGCCTTGTTTATATTTTTCTCAGTATCTAATACTAATCCTAATTTAGAAATAAAAACAAAGAATTGTATCAATGATTTTGTTCTCTCTCTTCAGCCTTTTTCCTGCATTTTGTTTTTGTTTCTGATTCCTTTTTTTCATTATGTCTCCCTCTCAGACCTGGCGTGTATGTACAAGCTGTTCAGTCGTGTGCCAAATGGCCTTAAAACAATGTGTGAGTGTATGAGCTCTTACTTGAGGGAGCAAGGCAAAGCTCTGGTGTCAGAAGAGGGAGAGGGCAAGAATCCTGTTGACTATATCCAGGTAGACGTCTTGAACACTGAGCCCAAAAACACAACTTTACATCTACACACTTGAAGAAGCCTGCTTTAATTGTACATGAGAGAGGGAAATGTATTTTTAATGATTATAGCAACTGTTTATAATTACCTACTTATTAGGGCCTGCTGGACCTGAAGACACGGTTTGATCGTTTCCTGCTAGAGTCTTTCAACAATGACAGACTCTTCAAACAAACCATAGCTGGAGACTTTGAGTATTTCCTCAACCTGAACTCTCGCTCACCTGAGTATCTATCACTCTTCATTGATGATAAACTTAAAAAGGGAGTCAAAGGGGTATGTGGATTCTTCACATTTTCTTTCAACCTGCTTAGTGTATATTAGACTTTGACAGACTTTATTGTAATTCAGATATACAAGTGTACATAAAACAAAATTTCGTTGCGTTGGCTCAGCACTGGCTATATTTGTACGTTGTTATGCTCTGCAAGAAGTTAAGTGGTTTTCATGTCTTATATTGCCTCATTTCTTTTCTTCCTGTCTTGTTTGACCAGTTGACAGAACAGGAGGTGGAGTCAATCCTTGACAAGGCCATGGTGTTGTTCAGGTTTATGCAGGAGAAGGATGTGTTTGAAAGATACTACAAGCAGCATCTGGGTCGCAGACTGCTCAGCAACAAGAGTGTTTCAGACGACTCTGAGAAGAACATGATCTCTAAGCTCAAGGTAAGAGAATGAGAATGTTTTGGATACAGATGTACTTGCCCATCCCTTGTACTGTTCCTTATTAGAGCTCCCTCTCTGATCATATTGCCCTGCTTCACACTGTCTAAATCCATGTCAGCAGTTTCAACTCATTGCTCTCTGTCTATCTCTCTTGCAGACAGAATGTGGCTGTCAGTTCACCTCAAAACTAGAAGGGATGTTCAGAGACATGAGTATCTCCAACACTACCATGGATGAGTTCAGGCAACACATACAAACCACATCTGTACGACAGTCAGACAACTATTTAGATGAATAAAACGCAATAGGCACATGTAAAAAAAAAACTGGTAGTTCATTTTAAAGTACAATTTCTGATTTTGAAGCTGTTAATCACTAGTACATCAGTGTTACAGAAGGTAAACCATAGCTGTTGTGTAACAATATAAGTCAAAATGTATTGTGATTTAAAAATTTTAAAATTCTATGTAAAGGTGAATCCCAGTTCACCTAATTGCATCCGCATTTGCCTCACATGCATCTTTTCCGTGCATCTAAGTCCAGCCCATGTAAGACGCAAGGAGAAACGGCCAGGAGAGAGGCACCAAGGAAATGTGTTTTAAGTTCCATGAGACTCTCTTTCCTAGATCCTTCACGTAACGCTCCAACACAAAGTGATTTCTGACAAATGGGCATATCAATCCATAATAGTCTTCCACAGAGGATACTCATGTTTCCTCAGTTATAGCTGCTCCAGGCAACCTCCCTCCTCCTTGGTCCTTTCTCTCTTCAGAGCAGAAATATGGGCTTTATCATGAAGGGCCAGAACAACTTCCAGGTAGAGCAAGGAACGATAAAATAAGGGAACTGGGATTCACCTTCAGACTCTCTTTCAGGCATCTCTTAGTGGTGTGGACCTCACAGTAAGAGTCCTCACTACTGGCTATTGGCCTACACAGTCAGCAACACCCAAATGCACCATCCCCCCTGCTCCTAGACATGCCTTTGAAGTCTTTAGAAGGTAGTGCTCTTAAATTTACTCAAATGTATTCCTACACATACAGTAGAGAGGTTCAGTGTTGTTTTGTGTCATCTCTAAAGAACTTAGTCCTGGCTTTTACTTTACAGGTTTTACCTCGCTAAGCACAGTGGTAGACAGCTCACACTGCAGCACCACATGGGCGGGGCTGACCTAAATGCTACTTTCTACGGAGCTGTTAAAAAGGTAGATACAAAATGCCATTTAAAAAGTGCCATTTTAGCATTTAAAGTTGTAAAGAAACTTTTTTTTTCTCCAAAGCACTATCATTATTTAGTGATGTTTGGAGTCTAAAGTTTAGCTTCTTTTCTAAATCATCTGCAGGAGGATGGTTCAGAAGTGGGTGTGGGTGGTGCCCAGGTGACGGGCTCTAACACCCGGAAGCACATACTGCAGGTCTCCACCTTCCAGATGACCATCCTCATGCTCTTCAACAACAGAGAAAAGTGCACTTTTGAGGTGAGGACAGTGAGACTCCTTTATCTCGGTCTCTGTAGAGGTTATTTTTGCATACTGTATGGCATGGCTTGTTCTAAGTGAAAACAATCTGTGTCACTCTCTTTGTACCACCCTGTCCCTACTTTTATCACTGTCTCTAGGAGATCCAGCAGGAGACAGATATTCCAGAGCGTGAGTTAGTACGTGCATTGCAGTCTTTGGCTTGTGGTAAGCCGACACAGAGAGTTCTCACCAAGGAGCCAAAGTCCAAGGAGATTGAGAATGGCCATGTGTTTACAGTCAATGATCAGTTTACTTCCAAACTGCACAGAGTCAAAATACAGACAGGTGGGTAAAGTTTGTGTGTAACACATAGTATCGCAGTACAGAGCTGAAGTCTCACCTGTGAGCCAGCTTCTTTTCACTACTGCCTGTAACAATCTATTTTTGTTTAAATGATCAAATACATGGAGGCTACACTAAAGAAGCTAACTTGGAAGTGCAATGTGACTCTGCATTTCTGCTAATATAAAACCACCTTGAAAGGTTTTGTCCCCGTGTCCCACTTTCCCAGTTGCTGCTAAACAGGGGGAATCAGACCCTGAAAGGAAAGAGACACGGCAAAAAGTGGATGATGACAGGAAGCATGAGATTGAGGCGGCCATTGTCCGAATCATGAAGTCAAGGAAGAGGATGCAGCACAATGTCCTGGTGGCAGAGGTATGTATGCTAAAAATTTATTATGACTCCTTGATGTGCAGAGAAATGTAATTTAAAGAGCAGCATGTAATGGTGCAGTGTTCTTACATTTTATGACATTGTCTGTTCAGGTGACTCAGCAGCTCCGGGCACGTTTTCTTCCCAGCCCTGTGGTTATCAAGAAGCGTATAGAAGGACTAATAGAGAGAGAATACTTGGCGAGGACACCAGAGGATCGTAAAGTGTACACCTATGTTGCGTAGAAGACAAACTGTGGATGAGAGGAGGAAGAGACTGGACAGGTGGGGGGGGGGGGGGGG